CATGATATGTCCATAGAAAGAATGGAAAGAGGCCGATTTATCTGGAATGTTTCAGAAACATGATAACAATTTTCGTGTTTCATCCGTCGTTCGCCATGCGCCAGTGGTTGTGTGTAAACTCTTCTTACATTTTAAATTCTCAAGTTCCACGCGTGGAATTCAGCTGAAACTTGTCTAAAATAATTCCGAGATGTTCTTGACCAAGTGTTGTTATTTTCTGGTCTAAAGTCCTACTTGGCAGCCATGGCGGCCATTACGTAACCATGATTCCGCTATCAATCATGGTTACACTCGACAACAACTTTTGTAAACTTCTTATCAATTTCCATTTGTTGGATTCAGCTTTCAGCTAAAACTTGACTGAAATGAAGCTGAGATCATTGTTTTTTTTCGGGGGATGGTTGGTGGTTGTGTCAATTTGATATTCAATATGACATGGCATGGCCGCCATCTTGAAAGTAACGCATTTTAAACTTCTTCTCATGTTCCATCACTGCGTTTCAGCAGAAACTTGGCCGAAATGATCTTGGGATAATCTTGAGTGTTGTTTTCGGGACGGTCCGTAGTACCAAATGCTCCCCATCTTGAAAAACGCATTTAAAACTTTCCACTGGTAACAATGAGCTGAATTTTCGTGAAAATGCCAAGAAACTAAAATGAGGATTGGATTTTTTTTCATATTTACAGCTAAAGTATTTCGAATTAAAATATTCGCTTACTGATTCCGATGTTCAGACTAAATATATTTTCAACATAGTATGTATGTCAATTAAATTATTAAGGAAATAATAATCTAGATTGTTTTACACTACATCGTAATTCAATCTATTGTTTAACGACAATGGTATCATCACACCAACTTTAATATCACCATTTATTGAAACAAAATATATTCTTTTATATATAAGGAATATTTTTCATACACATAAAGAAAGACGGTTTTATACTTATTGTATATATATAAAAATTTAAGCAATATTGATGACGGTTAAACTTAAAAAGTAATAGTCATTGATTTATTTTGCCAGAATCTACCGACTTTTCATTGTGCCGATTGGCGGGAATTATAGTCACATTTGGAATAACTTGCCTTTTTAGAGTCGCATTTTATATTTTTTTTTGGCAAATGAATATAATATTTCAAATCTGGCGCCGGACAATCTATTTTTTATTTTTAATTTGTTATTTCGATTAAGTGTTAGCGTTTTTATGATCATTTCACTTATTTCATCTGTATGGTTCCTCGTGCCCTTATTATCTTTAATGGCTGAAAATTTTTATTTATCGATTCTATATCTGGACAGAGTGATATCACGTCACAAAGCACATTCTCATTGTATTAAGTGAGATTGTTGCAAATAGTTACGTCACAAGTCTCCGTGCCCAAGACACAACATTACATCACTTCACTGATCGCGATTGTCTCAACGTCTGAGTGACATAACTCTGGCAGAAGTTTCGTCATACAAGCACTGTTGTTAGACTCATCCCGGTAAACTTTGTCAGGAACATTTATAAACATTATCTGCCTCTCTGGTTTAATAAAATCATAGTTTATCATCAAAATGACCAATATGATGTATATTAACATCACATATGAGTTACATGTTCCCCAGTTCAACACTGTTACACATCGACACTCAGACCCATCAATCTAAATTTTACATAAATACTTTAACGCAGATGGATGGAAAATATGCAATTTATTGAGCATCATGAATGTTCAGAAATAAAAGAGATACTGCTTAAAGCGTCATTTTGTTTGAAGTTTTATTATTATACTTTACCGGACACTATGAGTTCAACCTTTAGAATTGAACATATATTTTTTTTTCAAATAGGACCATTTAGGTGTGGCTTGAGTTTCACAATGCTTCGTCCCATGAAAGCATGGGCTTTCCTTGATATTCAATAAACAGATTATTGTAAAAACAGAATTGCCATTAGATAATTAGTAGTGACACTCCGTTTCCTCGACGACTGGGCTACAATGACCGCAGGCTGTCCAGTGCAATTGGTGTAGCTTTCTTTGTTATATGTAGTTGCCTGCAGGAAAGAGTGGCCAGCTGGTAATAGTTATCTAATAACCTGTTGACCGTTGTACTGACCATTCGTCCCCATCAGCTCAAAGAGTCTGGGAGGGCGTGAAGAATTGTTCAGTTAGATGGCCTTTGACCTCGAGTGATGACTGACCTCTAGACGATATGACGTAATAGTGGTGGGATGTCAAAAGATAACAATACATTGGACGTTAGAGGGGCGTGACAATTTGGTGATTCATGGGGGTTACTCAACCGGGGCGCTATTCCATGCTCGCTCTCCTCCCGAAAGGTGAAAAGTGCAGTTAATGTCGCAACCATATACTGATAGGCTATTACCGAGCTGAAGGTTCTGTAGTTCTGGGAGAACCTGGCCAGCTCATTGTGATTTTTATGTCACTTTATGTTACGAACATAGCGGCAACAATAACTTAAAAATAGAAGATAATGTAATTTGTATTTAACTCCAATATTTAGAAATTACACGTTCTCATTTATTTAAATCATTATTTCTCGATCCGGCCACGAAGGGCGATTTTCTCAATTTTACAGTTTTAATTAGTTCGTCACAGCGAGCGTTTTAACTGTATGTTGATGTATTTCGGTGTGTTGACTCTAGGATTAACTGACCACTAAACAAACTGACCTACAATCGGGCGAGGCTATTGGACACTTCTCCCAACATTAGGTCGGGTGATGTAACGACTGTGTATTGGCGATACCGCTGGACAAACACGGCCTCTGTGACTATAGTTAACAGGCAAGGTGTTAGGCAATGGTTTAAACACTCTTAAGGTTACACTAAGGCTAAAAGTTCACACCGTTACTTAACATTTTATAAAAGTCGAACGCAGAAGTGATATTGAGAAAATGTGGCGCAATTATCTGAAATTGAAAATAGGGGCTTGTGAAAATTACCACTGGCTAGGGATTAATACTAAATATAAATTTTGACTTTTAACTCATAAAATTAAATCAGAAAATCTTCGTTACCCCAACAATGGTGTGGCGAGTAACATGTACGTGGTATAGAAATACTCGGGTTAGGATGTTCAGCATGCTTGGCTCGAAACGGGATACAGATCAGAATGTTATGTAAGTGAGGTGTGACTAAGCATTTAGTGTTGTCTGTAAGTACAACATCTTTCTGTAACAGAATTCGTTAATCTATGTAACATTACAGCGTTATCATTGAAACCCTCGGCGTTGCATCAATATCCCCACTAAACATTATCGATAAATCTTATGAACAATTAACACAAGAAACGAACAATGGAGAAGATGACGCGGTTCCGGATCAACGTCAACCCGCACCACAGGACGTCTGTCGGAATCATTTGTAGTTCAGGCAGTACAAAATTCAGAAACAAATCCAATCATACACAAAAATACAGTTAATAACGCATGAAGCGTTCTGATATCTGAACTTAATGAGTAAAAAGAAAACACAATTTTTACATTAATTTTTTTTATTTTCTTCTTACAAAATGTTAACAATACGAATGATATAAATGTGTGTGTGACGTCACAGCGAGAACTACTCACCTGTTTTTGTTCTCCACTAAATAAAACATCTCACTCTCTAGCACAGATACCATTCAGATCATTTACGTGTTATTCATTAACACGAGCAGGGTTAACATTTAAAGTTACCGAATCATGTTTCGTTTTTTATTAATTTGGAATAACATTAATTTGGTTATGTGTGAAACATTGGGCATATTTGGTCACAATTAAAGCACTTTTCTGAAATACATGAAAATTTGTTTTCCTCAAATAAATACAGTTTCTCAATGTGTCTTCAGTTTGATAATTAGATATTATATTGAGCATGCTGGCACGCCTTTGATTAACTTGCATAAATCTTATCTTATTATCACGATTATTATCACTGCTCTACATTGAAAATTTCTTAAATTGGTATTTTCGAAAATGATTGTTACAGAAAATAAATTTGATTTTGTAAAAGTAGGAAACTGTCACAAAATTGTAATTTTCCAAATAATAATGACCAAGTTTAGTTCTTATTGTTGGTACAAATAGCTCCTTCCTTCACATTTCTGTAAATTATCTTAATCGTATGAACGAAAAGTACTAAACATGTAAAATAGACTGATATCAAAGCAAAATACTATAGTATGCATAATTAACGGACACCTGCCAAACTATAATTATTGAAGTCACTTAGCAGTATTTTCTACAATGTTTAAATAGCACTACGTTATTAAATGAACGATATATATATATATAGATATAGATATAAACTGAAACATTCAAATAAACAAACACATTGTAATTTACATTGTGACATTATGCTAAAGTATGTAAAGGGTTTTTTGATCGTTAACAATAGTGTAGAAATCTTGGCACTACCACTCGCTCTGTTTGTGTCTGATTAAGGCAAACAATTCAGATATTACAATTTCTTTAACAGTCAAACATGAACATAAAATATCTTGAACCTTCATCGTTCTAATTTGATTCAAATGGTAGAAATTATTGATTGCTTAGCAGAAAAAAATTTCATTTGATGGAAATTATTATTTCACCAAAATTGGTTGATTCTCTCCATCATCAGGTATTTTTTTGACATAGACTAAAATAAAATAAACTGGTGGCTGTTATGAATGAGATTTCTGGTTCAACTCTTAGCTTATATTTTAAAAAACTGATGTACGAGTGGAACATTAAAAATCCTCGTCAAGCACTTTAGTCAATGCTTGGCAGGATTAGAGTCAATTCTGTCCTTACCGAGATTCATTAGATTCATTTCAGTAATGATAACATGTTAATTAATCACCTAAATCCAATCACTTACAAAGAAAAAATAACGAAGGAGTGAAATGTAAAAACGCGTGATGAATATGATACTTCCATTGTCACTCTCCACACAATATTGCAGCACTTTCGATAAAAAAAAACATTTTCGCACCATTCCTAGCCATACTTCCGAGACAGATATCATAGTCTATTATACAACATGTAGTGAAGTTTAGCAGTTTCATTTTTCAAAATTGTCACTTGTGCCCTGAGTTTAAGGTTTTCCTGTTCCAGGAAAGCTGCCCGCATGGCAATCTCTTCCTCCTTACACCGCCGAGAATCTCTAGACCTTTTGGCTGCCTCGTTATTTTTCCGTCTTCGTTCCCAGTAAGCTTCGTCTTTCCTGTCCTCAGGAACAGTTTTAGTCTTTTTTTCACTTGTCGATTCAGTTCTATTTTCAGCACGCCGTTTTCGCTGCATAAGATGAGAAGTAAGAGGTGTGAGAGGAAAGGTAGGAAATGACGATGGACTATCAAACATTGTCGTCATACCAAACGAACCTGTCATAGGGGATAGTGGCGATGTGGGGGTACTACTAGCACCGTTATAGGCAGAAAACTGATCCATTGGGTACATTTTGAAGGGCCGGGATGATGTGAAGGCAGCATCAGGTTTATCCGAATTACTGGCCTTATCGTTGATACTGTTATTTGGTGAACTATGGTTAGAGTATTCCCCGGGAGACTGTCTCCTATGCTCTTCTTGAGAAATGTCATGATCCAAATCATTATTCAAAGAATGGATTGATGATGATGATGATGAGCGTCCTGATTCACTGTTGCTGGTATGTCGTACACAGGATTTAATAGGTAGTGGACTCCCTTTCTCTGGAGGGGGGCAAACACTAGGTTTAGCGGAAAGATCAAGGGCCGCATCCCCCATCTTGTCAAACTAAAAGAAAATAATATCTTATTAGTTATTTGTGAGAATGAAGCAAACACATTCATAAAACTATTTAATATGCGTTGAAACATAGCATTCTTTTTGTTTTCATGTTATGATATATATTTAAAAAATCAAAATTGATATCATTTGGTTTCGGCCTATTCGAGAATTATCTTATTGGGTGTGTTCCCACAATTTTCAGAACAAAAAAAATTGTGATATGTATCACCATTATTACAAGATCAGGAAGAAAAACAGACTGTAATACATAAATCTATGAGAATACACACAACAATGCATAAATACATATCAACAAATAGTATAATTAACAGAAAGAAAAACAACAAACAAGAGCAAACACAAAAAAAAATTAAATTAAAAAAATTTAAAAAAGACGAACAAATTGTTTATCCCAGAATGTTTCTACATAAAACAGTTCTTATTGGTGGCGGGCAGTAGTGTCTGATGTTTACATTTTTATCCAAAGAGGATAGATAAGTAATAATCATATAAACATTATTATCATCTTGAATTGTTTAAAATGATAAAATTTTTGGCTATTAAGTCAACCGTAAAAACATGTAAGCAGGCATGACCTGATGACTATAACTAGAGACACGATAGTACTTGTTCCACAACGATATCAGTCAACAACAGGCACGAGACAAAATCATGACGTAACTTAGCACAAAATTTTCAAAATTACAAAAAAAAAAATAAATATAATACTTCTTAAACTTTAACTTACCTGTTGTATTATTATTCCGTAATAACGTTCTACACACTGACAAGATATAGATCCACACTAGTGCTACACGCTCCTTGCTCAACTCTGACCAAACGCTAAATGAATTACACTAGCCAATGACCAACGCTTATACGCTTGTTTGCAATGCGTGAACTCGCTATGACCTTCTTGCACAATGAATACATAAAGCCCTGCGCATGTGACGTCGGTGACCTAGATGTGTTGTAGCTCCTCGGGCTGACTGACCACCACAGTCTTAGGTGTGTATGGTCAGTTGTTTACTAAAAAGGTTATTACATAAACAAAAAGCTGATCAGCTATAGCCTCCTGTTTATTGGGAATGATTACAGAGAGGTACATCATAGCTGTTTTCGTATACACTAGTTAATGGCTGTACAGGAAGCTAAAGTTGAGAGGTCAGCTTGACCTAGGCCTGGTCAAAGCTTCGGCCATTGAAACTGACAGTAGTAGTCAAATTGAATTATGATTCATATCATACTGGATAACACTACAATTCTCTCTCTCTCTCTCAAACAGAAGGGCTACAGGAGGGGGATTTTGATGTTACATTTCATCTACACGTGGTAACAATTCAGCTGAAAGGGAAAGCAACCATCATGATCTCATGTAAAATGACTTTCATACTTAGGCAAATAACATAATGTTGTACATATATGATACCAACCTATAATTAAACGACATTTGATTTTAATCTTTGTGTGTGTGTGTGTGTGTGTGTGTGTGTGTATGGGTATAGTAACAGCGAATTTTTATTTCAATAAAATATCAATGAATTTACTTGATGGCATAAATGACTATTATCATCAAAAAGACATTTCTCCAATGGAAAATATAACACATTTAATGGATGGAGTCCCGCTCCAAACCGGCTTGTTCATTTCTTTTGCTTTTCAATTAATTCACTGAACTGATTTTGAGTAAACATATTTTACAGCCAAAAATTTAACTTGACATGGATGAGAGACTATTTCTTAAACCCATGGACACTTGTAACGCATTTACATCACGTGACATATACAGATACATTAATCTATATACATGCAATTCACACCAAACTTTATAATTTGCAGATATATTTTGTTAAATCTATTTATGACAATGATAGGACGAGGTGATAGTATGTATGGAGGAGCAGCAGGTGTATACATTTAGTGTCGAGTATAGAAGCACCGAAACGCTTTGTTTATTATCTGAACTAAACAACGTATTTCCATTATACTTCATCATTGTATTTTGTATTTATCCAAAGCAAAATCTAAACACTGTAGTCACAACTATGACATAACTAGGTTATATATATGTGGATGTGTTACGAATAAAGCCGATTTGTTGTCATGCCATTTCATATTTCAGTATCAAATGTCAGTAAGACTAAAGTAATACAAAATAGGCTAGTAAATATATGATTATTGCCCTACAGAATATAGAAAAATCTTACTTTAAAATAAATTTATCATATTGAATATCAAATAAACTAAACGAATAATTAATATTCAAAACAGAATATCAAACACTGAATAGATATTGCAAAGGAATTATGAAAAAAAATAGCCTGACATGTCAACGTTTTTTGCAATTAAGATCCTAAATCGATAAAGTCTATAAACAAGAACAAAATAAAGGTTTACACGGAGACTCCTGAAAAACCAGAAGAAAATATGTCCAGGCGTTCTGCACGTGTAAATTACTAACCATTACGATTTAACATTACACGGAGTAATAGAAACTTTGTGGAGATATCTAGTTATTAAAGACACCAGCATCCTGCGTGTTGTGTTGAACTCAACTACTGTCATAGTTGTGACTTGGTATCCACATCCCAAAAGTCTCCCTGGAATTCTCTCGCTTTTACACTTTATAGATATCAACTTCTTTTGAAATTCAGTCCCAGTGCGTGATTTGTTATGTGACATTTTACCAAAAGTCTATCTGGAATTTTCTTTTCAGTCCCAGTACGTGATTTGTTATGTGACATTCTACCTAAAGAAACAATTTTGAATTTTTATCTTATTATGGTTATAGATCAGACAATCCCTAGAATAATGAAAAGTTCAATAATTTCTAGTATTGAAGATTTCTATTTTAAACCTCACGATATACACGTTTTATATTTAATCGTTTAAAGAGCATTATGATCGCTAGTTTCTTGTCCTTTAAACTGATCAAAATTGATGTATTTATCACTAGCAGTAAGACCGAAACTTTCCAAACAGATGTAATAGTTATTCCAAATTGTTTGTTTGAATGCGCGTTTCGATTCAAGATTATGAACTTGAATTAAAGAACATCGATTTAAAGTAATTAGTCAGTTTTTAAAGATTTGTAATTGTATATCTAGGAGATTAGTCATTGTTGAAATATTGATGTCCGTATAATTTGAAAAATGATGTGAGTAATTCTTTGCATTAGATTTTACACTTAACTATAAGTAAAAGGATACAGATATATCATCATGCTATTCATAATTCTGAAATATTAATTTACAAAACTTTCTTGAACATCATCACAAAAGTCATCGTAAACAATTACTATACACAGTATCCCAACCAAGACTGATAAATGACTCAGTAAACAATGAGAAAGGTTATGTGATAATCGTGTTGATCTTTTGATAATCAAACAATGCAATTAAAACGTCAAACACAAACAAACAATCCATAAAAACAATTCAACAAAGAGGTATTAACACTGAAATCACAAACAAATAACAATAATAAAAATATAAATGACGACAACAGAATATCATACCAACATGTAAACGAAATCTTGAATAAGAGCAGGTGTTTCGGAAGAGTATTTTAAGGTCAATCCAAATAAATAATGTCACGTTCTCTAATGAGAACCGGGTTAATAACAAACGACAATGAATGCATAATAGCGAGCATCAAAAACGTCTAGCTGTATATTAGACAAGGAAATAGAATAATGTCCACCACTGAGATCATGATGATGACCACAAACCTTCACCAAATTCTTCATAAAACATCTACATAGACCATGTGTTGTGTGGTAATCTGTTAACTACTGACATTTATTTCGAAAAATGTATTACTTGAGAGCAATACCTACTCGAATCGACAGTCCAAATTGATTCAATATTCCTGGGAGCTCGGATAGAAATTCGGACCATGTGGATCATGTATGTATCATGATAACACTGATGATGATGATGATGATGATGATGTTTAGACACTATCCTCATGTTTAAGTGTAAGAACGCGAACGAGTGTGTATTTACATGTATTTGTCTTTTAAATGTATTGAAAATATAAACAGTTACACAGAAAAAAAGGATGGATAAAGATTAAATTGTCTAATGGGACGTTATTTATCTGAATTATATTGGTATCCAGAAAAAGACAAAGGACTGTTTCCTTATCGTTAACTGGTCATCATGAAACACTGAAACATGAGTTATTTGAAGGTAAGGTATCTTTGGTTGTCGATACACAAACTTTTGAAAGATACAAGGCGAACCAAGCATTTCAAAACTTCCATTATGTTTAATTTATCTATGTTTATCATCTAATGGTCACCACTTTAATTTCATTGGGCAATATCCAATTTCCTGTGCACTGTTCTTAAGAATGCCTCCTGTTGGCTCCATTCTTGTTTTTCTTATGTCTTCCTTGATGATTCCTTGATTGCTAAGAGTGGGATATCACAGCAGGGTAGCGTCATCATTTCATGTTGCGTAAAGTCGTCAATATGTTTCGAGGGACAGTGAAAATGGCGCGATGAAGAAGTTTCACAACAACTTACAAATTGTTTAAGCCCCCAGATAGAAAGATCGTCAGCATATTGTTTTTGTGCTGTTTGTTTTTCTGTTGTCAACTTTAACCTTTCCCATAAATATTGCACCGTAAGAGATAGGGCTTTCATATCTGACATGCGTGTTCCTTGTGACAAGACCTTTCCAATGGTAAATGTTTGACCATGTGAACAATGAAGACATACGTGTTTCACAAAGTGCGCATGCAATTAGCACATGTCTTACACAGTAATGTTTTAATGTCCCATCTCAGCATTTTGTTGTAACCAGTGACGAGGATCAAGCCGAGTGCTGGCCAGCCAAAAGCTTACGTTATAGACATCATCAACTTATATGAAAGTGAAATTGAAGGACTTCGCAAGGTGTTTGTGACCAGTTTAGATGAGCTCTTCGATAAATTCGCCTCGCTTGAAAAAGGTTGGGTGTGTATGTGTTTTGGATGTGGGTGCAATATTT